TACTGTCTACCTCAGCATTTCCCATGATCCCACACTACTGGCCACCTTGGTATTTCCCATGATCCCATGCTGCTGGCTAGCATGGCGTCTCCCATGATCCCACACTATTGGCTTCCTTGACGTTTCCCATGAGCTCTCGCTGCTGGCTTGCAGCGGAGGCAGTGACTGTGATGTGTGTGTGTTTGTGAGTGTTGGGGGTTGGAGGGGTGGGTCAAGTAAACACTTGGAGAAGAAAGCAAGCTCAGGTGAGGGGAGGGAGCCAACCAGGGGAAATGGGCTGAGAACTGGTGTAGAACTAACGTTTCATTTTCCGCAATGAGACGCAAAGACCCAATTTAATTAAATTACTAATGTCAAATTTTTAATGAACCTGCTTCTGCTTTGGGCTTTCTTCCTTTGAAATTAATGACTGGAACGTCACTATAAATAAAAGTCGATTTTTTAAAAAAAAGTCACTCTCAAACACTCACTGCTCTTTACTTAATGAGCTGTTCATAATCAGGCCACTCTGACCTGGCCCCTCAACTGGGACTTGGGTGTGATGAATGGGGGCTCAGTCCCAACACCACCTTCTTTTTTATCTTGAGTTCTGCTCCTGAGAGGCCATACAGTGGCTGGGGAGAGAGGGCAGATGCTGGGCACAGAGAGGTGTGGATTCCGATTTCAGCTCATTACCCCTAGCTCAGTGATCTTAAGCTGTAATTGTCACCTCTGGCCTTCAATTCTTCATCTGAAAATGAAGATACTTTTTCTTCCCATGTTGGGTATTGTATTAGTTTCCTAAGGATGTAACAATGTACCACAAACTGGGTGGCTTAAAAAAAAAACAACAGATTGTCTCATCATATGTTGTCTCATAATATGCAGGTTTAGAATTCTAAAATCAAGGTGTCTGCAGGGCCACAGTCTTCTGAAACTTGTAAGGGAACCCTTTCTTGTCTCTCTCTAGCTTCTGGTGGCTTTCTGGCAATCTTTGGCATTCCTTGGCTTATAGACGCATCACTTCCAGCCTCCGTCTTCACGTGGCATTGTTACTCTGTGTCTCTGTATCTAAATTTCACCTTTTTATAAGGACACCAATCATTTTGGATTGTGATTAAGACACACTCCAATGAGCTCATCTTAACTTCATCATCTGCAAAGATCCTATTTCCAAATAAGGTCAAATTCACAGCTACTGGGGGTTATGACGTCAATATATCTTTTTGGGGACACAATTCAACTTCTAGCAGGGCTGTTGTGCACATTAAGTAAAGTTAGCTCTATAATATCCACTATTGAGTTCCTGGTATGTTTTAGGCCCTGGGCTACAAATTTATTTTACTTAATCCTCAAAATCCAGTGGAATACCTGTTATCTTCATTTTATGGATGAAAAAACTGAGGCACACAGAGTTTAAGCAACTTCCTCCAGGTTACACAGCTAGAACATGGCAGAGCTAGGTTGTGAATTTCTGTCTTCCTGGCTCCATTGTTCAGCACTCTTAACTGGGCTGTGAAACCGCTTCTGACAGAGACAACACCCAGCACGTAGTGCGTGCTTAATCAACCAGAGTTCCCTCCCTCCCTCCATCATTGTAGGTGCCAAGACAAGATGAAGGGTGATTACCTGATTGTCCAGATTTAATAGTCTGTTTTTTTTTCCTCCAGTCTGATTTACTAACCTTGTATTTTTTTTTTTAAAGATTTTATTTATTTATTTGAGAGAGAGAGAATGAGAGACA